CTAGAGTTCCAGCTCTACACATCTAACTCCACTACAGTGTTCTTCCATTACCTAAAACTGCACATGCCTAGACCTCAACCCATCATGATTATCTTCTAACTAGATTTGCCCCCTCAACACCTCTACTTGTCATCGAAACCTGGAAGTAAATCTAGACCTCTCTTCATTTTAATCAGTCACCAAGTCCTGTCAAGTTTTCTTCACAAACTCCCTTTCATCCCGTATTTCTTTTTTCACTTACAAAACACAAGTTCGACGATCCATCCCATATTTTCTATATCATTTCATACCTAGACTTACTAAAATAATCCCCTACATGGACTTTGAGTATCCTCTGTCTCTCCCTCTTCTAATCTATGCTACTTTATGAATCTCCATAAAACAACACGTTGTATACATCAGGGAATCCTCGGTAAGAAGAATGAGATTAAAACTCCCTGGGCTAGCATGTAAGTCCTCCATGATCTATCTCCCACTAACCTGCTTCTCTAATCATATTTTTCCAGTGGGGACACACTCGTTGCTCTAGCAAATGGCCATGTATATTATGGTCTCCATGAATTTGCTTGTGTTTTTCTTTCACAAATGGTTCCTGCCACCAAGAACATCCACTCTTCATCTGTGTTGTAATTTTTTTTCTAGACTCAGTTTGATCCTATTTCTTCCATATAGCCTTCTCTCTATCCTAACCTTTGGTGATTTTCCTTTTCCCTTTCCTTTTTCCTAAATGCCAGCAATAATGAAGCTTACATTAGTATTCAGGATTCCTGAAGCACTTTTTCATATAACCATCTTGATATTTATATATAGAATATATAATCTATATATAAAAATATGTAATATATTACATCTTGGTATAATTATATAGAATACAAATAAAATACATAATATAGCATAAACATATTAATATATTAATATGAACTATATTACTATTATATATTAATATAATTAACATAACTGCCATAATTACCTATATTTAAAATTGTCTATCTTGCCAATTAGACCATAAATTCCTAGAGTCTGTCTCTCTAAAGTTGAAAAATATCCAACATGTTTGCTCCAACTGCTGAAGCCATAACTAAGAGCTCCAGCAACTTTATTTATAAAGCCTATTTTGTTATTGTGTGTGATTTACCTAAAAGATAAATTAACCTAACATTTTTATACTGAAAGCAATAGTATTGATTAATCAATAAATATAAAAAAGAGCTAATTAAGAATCTGGTGCACTCTAACTAATGAGAGTACAATGAAATGGAACCAGAAGTATGGAATTATAAAAACTGCTGGCAGTTCATTTTAGCTCAAAAGAAAATCTTCTCACATAATTAAATATATTCATTGACTTTTAGTTCTTCAAAGGCACTACACTGACTTCAATTTAGCCTTGCTTCAACATATAAACTAGTCTCTAAGTATACTATCATGAATGTTAATAAGGCAATATGACATTTATTGATCTATATAAAAACCAAAACATGGTTTTGTACTTCCTAAGAGAAAATGTGCATTTAAGAAACACATTTAAAAAGAAGCTGCTAATAATGTGGATGGACTTAGAGACAATTATATTAAGTGAAATAAGCCAGGCATAGAAAGAGAAATACTGCATGTTCTCACTTATTTGTAGGAGCTAATAAAAATAAATAAATAGACAAACAAATAAATGAGGGAGGGGGAAGAAGACATAACAATCACAATTCCTTGAACTTGTTAAGACAAGTGAACAAATATGATGTTGATGGGGGAGGGGGGTAAGGAGGAATTGATAAAGGGACACGAAAATCAACTACATTGTATATTCATAAATTAAAATAAAATTAAAAATAATTTTTAAAAACCAAAAATAAAAATAAAAAGAAGTTACTAAAATCCAATAATTTGATTATTCTCTTCTTCTGATTCTTCAGTCTGATTCCTCTCTTCTTCCTCCCATAACAACATCCTTCAAAAGCAGTGATGACAAGAAATGTTCAGATGGTGTGTTTGTGTGTGTCAAAGGCAGGGAGCATGTTGTCTCCATCTTTGTAATCCCCAACTTCCATCACTCTTATCTTTTACCTAGGAGTGGCAAATTAAGCCAATATAAATTTGCCAAAGCTAAAGCAGAAGGTATTTGTTTTCTATACTCTTCTTGGTTTCTACTAATCACCAGCCTCGCCTCCTCTCCTTAGAGTGCCTCCCCCATCTCCTTAATCATCAAAAGCCCAGAAATTAAAACAGTAAACAATTTCCCTGAGAGGTGCCTTACTGGTGCTGTCTAAAACAAATGCAATCTTCTGTTTCAGCATTTAAAACACCGCAAGCATTCTTACTTAGATTAAGTCATGGGTCTCCCTGGACTCCAGGCATGCCTAGACATGATCCATAAAGGGAATGAGATCGTTGGAGTTTCTCTAGTAACTGCAGGCCAAATCAACAGCAACCCTAAGAACAAGCATTATTTTTTTTTTTCAAACAGAACTAGGACACACATTTTTTTTTGTCATTATTTTACTTTGTTAGTGTACGACATACAAATAAATTGCATTTAAAAAAATTCTTTCAGTAGGTGATGCATCTTGATGACTTTTATATATTCAAACAGAACTAGGACACACATTTTTTTTGTCATTATTTTACTTTGTTAGTGTACGACATACAAAATAAATTGCATTTAAAAAAATTCTTTCAGTAGGTGATGCATCTTGATGACTTTTATATATGAGTTTTCTTTGTTTTTTATTATCTTTGAAGAAAAGTTTTAAAATCTGATTTTCAAGGCATCTAACGCAACCATTGCCTTGGATGGCAGCAATGAGCTCAGGTAAGATATTTAAGATACAACTAATAATCATAAAACATCAATTGGGAAGAAGTATTAAATATGGTATTGGGTAAAAATGACTAATAATTCGAAAGAACAGAATTGTTTTATAACTATGTCTTAACCAAGATTTACAGGCCTGCATATTGTTAATGGGATGGAGGCCATTTCACACCTGGTTTTATTTATGTGTGCATATTTAAATGAGTGTGAGTGATTGATGCAATGTGTGCTACACCTTCATGCCTCTTCTAAAGATAAGATGAATACAAAATACAGTTAGTTGTAAATGACCTGCCTTTTACAATTTAACTTTTCAAGTTAATTTTTACAATTAACATTTTCTATACTGTACAGTTTATACTTTACTTTGGTTTCTTACTCTTCACTTTGGTGTTTACAGAACTATGCATCTGACAAAAAAAAAAAGTGCTGTCTTTCATATCCAAAGATAATGCTATAACTTACTCAAACTCAGCCTTGGGAAGTTTTCTGGTGTTTTAATAGTGTGAGCTTGGAATTTGTGTTGAGTGATCAAGATTACCTGCCCTTATTCATGTTTCTAGTGGCATCTATGAGACCACTTGCTGGTTTGGGCGCCCGGTGCTCGGTTTGTAGGCAGTGTCATTAGCTGATTGTACTGCGGCGCTGGCAATCACTAACTCCACTGCCATCAAAACAAGGCACAGCATCACCCGCCGCCCCGCCGGAGGAGGACGCCGGCTCGGGCCGCCCCGCAGCCTTTGGGAGGAGAGAGCTGCGCCTCGAGATGTCACGCGTCGGCGTCGCTCCCGCGCTGTGCTGCTCCGCTAGCACGTTGTCACAGTGCGGGTGGACCCGGGGAAACTCGGGCGGGGTGTTTCCGTTAGATACGGTTGAATTGTTACCGCCGTCTAGGAGTAAAAGCAAGATGGTACAGTCTCCTGCAAGGAAAGCGAGATCTGTGGAGTTTAATGGCTTTAATTTTGACATATGAAGACATTTAGACGGCTTGAAGAAGGCTCCCATGCATATAACGGTTAATGCCGTATGCTGTGATTCATTGTGCCTAGTTTTCATTAACTTTAAATCAGCTACAACTTAACCAGTGATCCGCCTATCACAACGTATGGGAGCACTAGCTTGAGACCAGTTTTTTCTGTGAGTCTAGTTACTAGGCAGTGTAGTTAGCTGATTGCTAATAGTACCAATCACTAACCACACGGCCAGGTAAAAAGATTTGGGGATTCATCCAAAGGAGCTGTTTGTGCAACATCAACGTGTTTGGGGGAGAGGGATATTGGAATATTCTGATACTATCCATTGCTCAACCAAGAGAAAAGTCAACATTTTAACTGCTAAATATACAATGTATGTAATATGTGTGTGTGTGTGTGTATATATATATATGTATATTCTTAATATTCCTCAGGCTCTTAACCCAAAAAAATTATTTTGGATATCTTATATTGGGGAATAGGATTAATTTTCCTTAGCTGATTGATCTATGTTATTATATTCATTTGTGATTATCAACTTTTAGCTTTCAGTGAGACTATGTTGTTAGTAATATTTTGAAAGAATAAAGTGCCATAAAGACAAAAATTGTAGTTGTCACCATATGTAATATGTCCTTTCCTAAATTGGCTTTATGATATCCATCTTAGTTCTGCCACACTAGTTACAAGTTTTCTGTCGGTGAAATGGTTAAATTCTTCCTAGATTAACAAAACCTCCTGGGAAAGCTATTCACACACACCTATTAATACTTTTATAAGAATACATTAACGAAATTTTTCATAATTTATTTTTCATGAAGGGACTCGATCCACTCGTTAGATATGTCCCTTCTTTTAAGTAATCATTTACAACTGTTGCACTCTAGGCAACTTTTAGTGGGAATGATTGGTAAATGTAGTTACAATTTAAATCCAGTTCAGGCCTCTAGCTCCCATAGGCTAGGATTTTAGTCGCTGTATTCTTAACGCAGGCCTCACAATTTCCAAGTAGCAGGTGCTGAGCCGCGGCAGTCGGGTCTGGAAGGGGCCCTGGGGGCTAAGGAATTTAGAGTTTATTTAGATATCATGGGGTGGGGGGAGGCTGACTGAAGCTATAAGAGGCTAAAGTGCTCCCTCACTGACTCCAGCAGGACAGGACACGTCCCAAAGTTGATGTTTTGACTCTTCCATCTCAACTCCGAGGCTTGGACTGGTCCTGAGGCCTGTCATCACCGCAGAAGTGGCCGTCAGATGGCCCACGGGCTCGCGCTGGACCCCAGCACCTGCGGAGGAAACTAAGGGCTTCTAGCGGTGGCGGTTACCAGCCCGGCGGTTCTCGGAGGGGCGGGGCTGGGGGCGGGGAGAGGGAGCTTGGAGGAGCGTCCTGAGTTGCCATGGAAACGGGACCCTGCGCGGGTGGTAGCAGCCGAAATGAGCCTCACGAAATTTGCCCCCCAGGGTTACTGGTGTTTGCTGGCTCCTCGGAACAGGAGGCCAGTTTAGCCAAGCAGTTCTGGATGTCTGCGTCGATGTGTCCCACTAACGAATCTCAGCTGGTGCTGTGCAGAGGTAGCAGTCAGCGCCTGCCGGTGGCGCGGCCCTCTGGGAGCAGCCTACCTGGTGAGTAAAGTAGCAACCTGGAGGACACCAGATCCCCTTCCAGAGAAACTGCCCAACCTAGCTCTAAAATAAGGATCTTTCATTTCAAAGGTCTGAATAGTACACACTAATAGTTAAAGGTATGTACAAATACATGCGTGAGTAGTTCCTGAACCTTCGCAGCAATCCTTCCACCCAAGAAGGATCAGAGGTATCTTTGTTACATCTAAAAGTACATCTTAAGTAACCCTTAAACTATTATTTTATTTGGCAGACAGTGTAGAATAATCTGAGAAAGTGTTATATGCTGGTTGAAAGGATATTAAGGATAGTAATTTACGTAATTGAGTTCAAACATAAAAGCTCTAGAGAAAGTTGAAGGCAGAGTCAACATTAGAAACCAACTTCCCTGACCCATCAGCCCTTAGTGCAGCCTAGGACGTGGAAACTGTTATTACGCAATTTTTATAGGTATAGAAAATTCAAACGCCTTTAACACTGTGGTCTTTTCCAATGATTTCTTTACTTCCCTTTTGTATTTTTTAGAGAAAAATTATTTCCAGCCTTTTCCCTTTGAGAATAACAGTAAGTATCAAGTTTTATACCTTTTAACATCCTGACTTTTTGGTTCTTCAGAAAATAATAAGTACAAGGGTACAAGTTTACACTTTGGCATAACTTTCTGAATTGCATACCTAAGACGAACATCCTGACTTTTTGGTTCTTCAGAAAATAAGTAATAAGTACAAGGGTACAAGTTTACACTTTGGCATAACTTTCTGAATTGCATACCTAAGACCCTGCCTAAGGGGCCATCCTATTTAGCCAAAGGACAATGACTAAATTCCTATAACAGGCTGAAAAGGAATGTAGAAATTGGAATCTCTGATACTACAGATATGTTCTTTTTAGAGACCATTTCTACCTTCTGGGCTCAGGTTTACATATCATCTAAAGAGATTAAAGGTTCCCTGCAGCCATAGCTAATTAATTCAGTCTCCAGTTACAAATCTGGTTTATAAACTTTTAAGATACAGTATGCATTTGTGTTTACCTTTCTACTCTATGTATTACCTCTTAACATGTATCCAATTTTATATCAATGTTATTGTAAAATCATGATAAAATTATTTTAGTTTGAATTTGACTTTATTTCCTTTAGAGAATACAGAAGTCATTGATGAAGCCTTAAAGATTCAGGAATCTGAGGAGAAAGTAAAGTTTCTCCAAAAGGTAGGCCAGTATTTCAGAAGGTCATCTGATTTTCTTTAAATTTCTAAATAATCCTGAGTATTCTTTTGTTTTTTTTAACCACATACTGACCACTTCTGGTGTATCAGCTTGAACAAATTGGAAAAACCTTTATTAGAATTTTAATTGAAGATTAAGAAATTCTATTAAACTGGCTATTCTCAGTCTCTGCAAAAACCCAAGAATGTACAGGAACAAAAGAATCAGAGAGAAGTGGAGAAGGATGGTGTAGTGGATTGAATTATGTCCCCCCAAAACTTCCTGAAGCTTGAATTGTGTCCCCCAAGTTTTATGTATTAGAATCTTAGCCCCCACTGTGACTGTTAAAAGGGTGGGAAATCCTATTACGGTAATTGAAAAGTGGAGCCTTGAAGGGGTGATTGGATTGTAGGACCCTGCAGTACTGCTTGGCTTAAAAATGGTGGTCAAGGGTGTGGTTCTGAGGGCTTTAAGAGAAGAGGAGAGTCTGTCTCTCTCTCTCNTTTATGTATTAGAATCTTAGCCCCCACTGTGACTGTTAAAAGGGTGGGAAATCCTATTACGGTAATTGAAAAGTGGAGCCTTGAAGGGGTGATTGGATTGTAGGACCCTGCAGTACTGCTTGGCTTAAAAATGGTGGTCAAGGGTGTGGTTCTGAGGGCTTTAAGAGAAGAGGAGAGTCTGTCTCTCTCTCTCTCTGCTCTCTCTACTTCCACCATCTTGCAATGTGAGACCCCTGGGTTACTGTCACCACCACCAGATGGACTTTGGACTTCCCAGTCTCAGAAACCGTAAGCAATAAATTTCATTTTCTTTAAAATCACCCAGTTCCAAGTATTTTGTTATAAGCAACAAAAACAAACTAATACAGATGTATTCATAGACTTTCCATACAATAAGTCCCCAAACCATATACAATGTTCTAAGAACAGAAATCTTGTAAGAACAGGAAAAATCAAATAGAATTGATTATCTTAATTTAAAAAATTAAATGATCAGAGGAATGAATCTGTCATCCAGACCCATTTTGACTAAAGGCTGGAATTAAACACATTGGTGGAAAAATCAACTGAGCATGTGTCTCTTTTAGCACCATCCCTTGTCTGCTTTTCAAGATCAGGCACAGCCTGTAACTCAGCAATTAATACAGAGATTTGTTTTAAAATTCCATTTGGCAATTCCTTGAACTTGTTAAGACAAGTGAATAGAAGTGATGTTGATGGGAGGAGGGGGGGGAAAGGGAGGGAAGAAAAGGAGGAATTAGTAAAAGGGACATGAAAATCAACTACATTGTGTATTGATAAATTAAAATAAAAATAAATAAATAAAAATAAATTTAAAAAATTTTTAAAAATCTATTTGGTTGATGGATAAGTTCTGTTCCTGTAATTGTTCCTGTATTATAAAAGCAAAGATAGAGGATTTGTTTTGGCCTAATGTCTTAATCGTTGGACATATTGGCAAACTATGCAAGACTTATCGGGAATTCAACATAAATTACAGAACAATGCATCTGAGTTTGCTGTTCACATTAATTCACTTTGTGGACTACTGGTGATTCCTTCAAATAAATTAGGTGATTAGAAACAATTAGTCAGCATTTTCTTTTCTCTTTAGGATGTTATATACTGTATATTTATACCATGACTTTATGGGGGGTGGGAGGGAACCTAATATTCAGTGAATTAAAAATCATTGAAAGTCAACTTCTTTGGAATTTAATTTTTTTATTTTATTTTAGGAAGGGATTAGAAATAAAATGATAACAACAAATTATTACCAGCTTTTGTCAAACAATAAGACACAATGATGTGAGTTACAGGTGGATGTAATGCTAATAGGCTTATATTAATAATCTTAGAACTGGTTTCCTTGCCTTGGATCCTTCTGTTAATTTTTTAATTACTCGAATGATCCACAGATATTTACTGAGGACCTGCTGTGTGCAAGTACTGTACGAGGGTAATTCAAAAAGTTCTTGGAAAAATAGAATTAACAGATAAAGTAACTCTTTCCATCAACTCTTTGAAGTATCCTTGTACTAGATGTTGGAGGTGCAAAGATAAGATGCGATTCCTGATCTCAAGGAGTTTACAATCCGGTGGGGGAGACAGCCAATTAAAGTCAATAATTATGATACACAAGGGGTCTTCAAAAAGTTCATAGATGGGCAGGCCAGTTAGCTCACTTGGTTAGAGTGCAGTGTTATAACACCAGGGTCAAGAGTTCAGATCCCCAGACCAGCCAGAGCCAAAAAAAAAAAAAAAACCCACAAAAATTCATGGAAGGATTTGTATTATCTTTTAATTCTATTTTTCCATGAACTTTTTGAAGTACCCTTGTATTATTATGATAGATGTATATACATAATACTAGGAAAACACATTAAAGGACATCAGAATCAAGCTTAAGGAATCGAGAAACCTTCCCAAAGGCACTGAGTTTTGAAGTATGTACAGAATTTGTCAAAGTCTATGTGAAGCAATCCTCCATGATGCACTAGTTATCTTTCTGAAATCTGAGTATGATTATGCTGTTCTCCTAATTTCATTTTTTCTTGTGGTTCCCCATTTTCTACGGGATCAAGACCCCTCAGCATGTTCAAGTTTCTTTCCACTCTGACCATAACCTGACTTGTACTACTACTCTCCCCTTCTCCCATGCACCCCACGTCTGTATAGTTCAAGTTTCTTTCCAATCTGACCATAACCTGATTTCTCCTACTACTCTCCCACTCCTCTTATATACCCCACCTCTGTATAGTTGGTTCTCAACCACTTAGGCCAAAGCACACTGTTTACCGCTTCCCATATGTGCTACCAAAGTGATGAACAGGCTTAATATATATTTTGCTATACCTAAACATGCACAATATCTGCCAAACTATACATTAAGTCAAGTGGGTCCTGCAATGCAGTATAGAAGATGATTGTATTTGTTGAGAGTAGAAAGTAAGAGGCCTTACAAAACAATAAGCCACCAGAAAAGAAAGAGAATGTTTCTGAAACTGTGCCTGCTGAGTATATAGGAGAACTGAGTACCATATAGTACAGTTATATTCAAACAATGCCATGGTGCAAAAGGGCAACCCACCAAGAGAATCTTGCAATAACTGAATGTTCTTACAGATATGCTGAGATATTATTGAAGCAGTATTCATAACAACCAATTTACTGAGTGCATATTATGTGCTATACACTAAGCTAGACAGTTTGCATGTATCAACTCATATATTCCTTAAAATAGCCCATGACAATTATCACCAGTTGATCAAACAAGGCTTAAATGATTTTCCAAAGTTCCCACAATTGGTAAGTGGCAGAGCCTAGATTCAAAGCCCAATATCCTAACTCCAAAGCCCATGAAACTAATCTCATAATAGACTCATGTATTGTAATGATTGCTGGCCATAGCATTGTTCAGATATGCTGCCAGATATTCTAAAATTCAAAACTATGTTATGAACACAAATGTGAGAAACACCGTTTCCAGCCCATGCGACTATAAGCTGTTTCTTCAACCTGCAGTGCAGTGTCTGCACCTAAAATGCTCTTCCCTATTTTCCTTCAAGGCCTAGGTCAAATGCCAGGTTCTGTGAAGCCTTCCCCGAGGTTACCTAGAGACTAACAAAATGAATAGCTTCCTTTTCTGTGTTCCCATGGCAAGTCACAGATCCTCTCTTCTAGTATTTTTATAGTCTCTGATCTGTGTTGTAGGTAATTGTGTATGTTTTTCTCTTTCCTGCTAGATTACAGGTACCATAGTGTAGTGGACTTTGGAGGCTACAAGGTGGGTTTGGAGACCTAACTCTGCCCCTTACTATTTGTGTGACTTTGAGCTACTTATTTAACCCCTGTGATGCTCAGCTTCCTCATATATAAAAGGAGAGTGGATAAAAATATCCACCTCATAGAGTTGATGTAAGGTATGTAAAGCACCTGGCCATAGTTTGCCCTCAACAAATGCCCTCTATAACAGAGGTCATGTCTTATTTGCTTAACCAGTGCCTATCTTTTTATTAAAACTCAACAGATATTTGTTGATTGAATAAATGAATAATAATTGAACTAGTTAATGCGTGAGTGAATGCTGTATGCAGTGATATTTCAATTCTGTTTAGCCTTTTCCACATAGATCCATCTGGTGAATTTTTCTAGGCTGTTCATTTTTGCAAACATACTCCCCAAATCACATCATCTCTCTTCTCAGTTTTGCTTTTATCTCAAGGGTCTGGTATGACGGGAGGAAACATGACTCTCCATAATTATTGAAACAGAATCTAGTTTTGGATACTACTGTTTTAGTCTATAGTACTTTCTCTGCATTGGCGCCACCACCATTCTAGAATTTTTCGCTTCATGGTAGAAAACAAATGGGGGAGATGGTATCTTTTTAATTAAGAAGATATTTACAATAATCTATTTAAGAGAATATTCTACAGGTTTCGAACATATACATTTATAAGTAAATTCCAGGTATAATTTTCATCTTAAAGTGGGAAAAAAACATTTTCCATAAATTCTCTTTAAGGTTTATTCTTCTACTTTCTCCTTAAAATTAATGAAAAACTAAAAATTTATTTTCCATCTCTCCTAAAAGTGTCTTTATAGCCCTCTCTCTCCAAGGGATATTGATTTTTCGGTTGTTACAGTTTTTTAACTTTAATGTTATTCTCCATTTTGGAATATTTTCCAGGTATACATTTATAAATGTTTTTGGTTAGTGGACAAAACGCTATTAATCACAACTACTATTTCTGTGATGGATATCCGTGGCAGGAAATCAAAAACAATTGTGTCTGTCAATATTAAATGGCTTACTATGTCCATAAAGGAAACCTTATAGTACTACCCTGGACCATTTTTCTTCCTTTGGGAGTTCTAAAGTAGTCTGAAAACATTATAGTAAGTGAATAGTCAGCTAATTCTTTGAAATCATAAAACTAATTTGCTTTTTAGTTTTGCCACCTTTAAGAAAGCTCTTTAGCTGATTATCTCTTTATA